TATGAGAAAATTATTGTGAGTGTTTCCATAGTGCTTGCATAGCTGATGCGTTTCACAGCGCATCAGTGATAATTTGCATAATATTGGAAAGAGTGAAAAAGAAAAATCACAAGGATCTAGAATTACTCGTGAAAAAACTTCTCGAAGGGATGGCAGAAAATTAACTAATTCAGTACACATGCAGCAATTATTCTGACAGCCTTTAGCTTGCTTGTAGGCGATAGTTTCTGTTTTCAAGTGCGAGATTCAGTNAACTTGGGAATTTGAATTCATACAGATTGTAACTACATTCTAAATATAAAAGAATAACTAAATCGTACTGAACTGACTAACTAACTAACTAACTTACTTTAAACAAAATAAATATTTTATGACATAATCAAGTAAGGTATGAAACCGATTCTCGCAGTAATAAAACCGTACTTCTAGTACAGTGGAAATAGGGCCTGAAAAAAATTCAGGCTCCTACGGGATTCGAATCCATGACCTATGCGATACCGGTGTGGTGCTCTACCAAGTGCGCTAACAAGCCAACTGGGAGCTAATCATTGTGTTGGTTCCTATTAAACCCGTCAAAGTGATAAATCAATGAATTTGAATATATGAAAATCAAATATATGTGTATTGCGGTTTCATGAAATCTATGAAAGCGATCCTCGCAGTAATAACTATTACTGCGAGGATTGCTATCATACATTTCATGAAACCGCAGTAAACTCAAATTCACAATCAAGTACACACGTGATTATTTACATTAAATTGCTGGATTGATACCACTCAGAAAAAAAATCTGCTAATCAGATGAAAATTTTGGTCTAACGGGACATTTCTTGGAATAACTTGGAAACAAGCAAGATAAGTTTAAAAAAGACTGAAAAGAGATTCCAGGCAAATTGCTGTGCTTTTCTCAAACTGAAGAAGGATCATTTAAGAACATACTAACTTGTTGGTTGTAGTTGTTGTTTCTTTTTTTTTCATCCAAAAAGAGACGTTATTTTTCTTAACAGATTTCCCAATCTGAACTCAGCAGATAGCAGTGGTAACTATGCAATTTCACTCTTTCGCAAATGGAGGCATTMAAATATTTAACAATTATTCGCCGAAGGCGAGGTGAATATCGTCGAATAATCCCCAAGACGAAGTCGAGGGGATTATTCGACAATATTCACCGAGCCTGAGGCGAATAATTGTTCTAGTATAATTTCAGAGCTGAACAACAGACAAATTTCTAAAATCATAACATTTTAGTAACATTTATTAACTTTTTATTTCAACATTTTATATAAATTGCGTGGAGCGGTTTATATGGCGTCATATAAGGAACCACTCGACCAATCAGATTGCTGGAAACTCTCTGCTCAGCTCTGAAATTATACTAAATATATATAGAAAGGAAAGTAAGTTTTCAGTAACTAACTGAAAAGCAGTTTACGTTGCAAAAGGATGCATGCAAATCCCTGCCGTAATAATGTATCGAAATTTCTACATCAGGGTAAGGAATCCTACAAAGTCATGTTTTAAGCACACAACATCAAGAAATTTGCAAATCGTGATTGGTTGTGTAATACATGTTTACGTTACTTAGTAGATAAACCTCTTCGGGCGGCTGATGTGCCGACTGATAAAGTTCGCGGCTAGGTTATTGCTCAGAGAATTATGTAGCCGAGAAGTGAACTTGGTGGGCAAATATGAAATTTTGAGGACAACCATTCAGCCAAGATGTACCAGAATTCATGATCAGAAGGGGTTTGTTGACATTTTTGTGCATCCTTCCAGAGCAGCATTTGAGATAATGATCTGTATTTTCTATGTCGCCATCCAATCACTGGAGTCTACAAAACGAGTTTGTTTTTCTTCCAGGTAAAGAGTACAGATGGAAAATTAAAACTCTTGAGCTGGCTTTCTTTCCACTGCCTTTGTTTCTTTTCGACGGAAATAATCGGTGGACAAGTATCAACGTGGACGAGGGTTATTGCGTAATAACAGTTCAATGATTTTACGCCACGTGACGAAGAGCAGCCAATAAAATCGCAAAAAAATTAATGCGTGTGTTTTTAATAGCTTACTACAGGGTCCCACGTGATGTGTTTACGGGGATT